GAATAGAAGTTGGTCCTCAGGTACACTCCCTTGCATAAACAAAATCTTCACACTTAACCAAACAAATTAAACAACACAAGAAAAGAAACAGGGGTAAGATCATAATACAAAGATCTTAAAATCTATAAACTATTGCAATGCTTGCAATATCAAACAATCCCCGACAACGACGCCATTTTATTAAATTGTAAATATATGGGGATTTTTGTTATCAACTCCACAGGGATTACAAATATTTTGATGCTTGCCGTTCAACAGTTTATAGTTTCAAGAAAAAAGGTTTCAAAGTTTTGTTCTTAAAATTGTCACATTTTTAGTAGCAAAGCTTATAAATTCTAAAGAGTTTGATTAACAAAGTATATCAAAAGTATTTTTAATCTACCTTAACTTATACGTATTCTTTCAATCTTGCATGTGAAGTCAGATCCGATTAATATCGTCGAGTATTCTCCTAACACCGTCTATGTCTAGAGCGGCATCGTGAGAAATACCATATTCATCGCTAGACGATTTCTCTATATAACAACCAATATAGTAAGATTTAAGTTCAACACAAAGCAACTATTGACCATAGACCATTTCTCCAATCTATAAACTGATAGGTGAATATTTTAGGTCAAGTTTAACAAAATCTATGTCTAGAGTTTTACAAAACAAGAATGAATCATTAAGAAAAAAATATTCTTCATATATTAATCATCACTTGTTCACATACAAGTTCAATCAAAAGAAATACATACAAGCTAATGGTAGAATACCTCTACCTTTGATACAAAAGAAATTAGCTACGCATAACCATGGTAGCTTGTTTTATAAGTAATGGAATAAGATTAATGAGCATCCACGTTGAAGAATCAAACTTGGATGCGAATCCAACTTCTATTTGCAAAAATTACCTTTTGGTGAAGAAATGCTGAGAAATGAAGTTTTGGTGTGAAAAATGGGTTATGATCCCCAAAAAGTGTGAAAAGTACTTATATAGTACTTTTGGGATCTGTCAAGTTCACCCTGCGAACTACTTCTTTGTCCTACGAACTACCTCGCTACAAGTTCGATGTGCGAACTTATGGTCCTTTAGCTATTGCCTCAAATCTGGGATGGTCCGCTGGTCCTTCGCTGTGACTTCGCCACAACGAACATTCAATACCAGTTCGCCTAGCGAACTTAGTGTCATTTTCCTACTGCCTCTAAATTGAGAGGGTTCGTTGGGGCTTCACCATGAGTTCGCCCAACGAACATTCGCTACTACTCCTCGCTGGCTATTCGCCTATTGAACATGCTGAATCTCTTTTTTTTCCTTTGCCTTCCTTGTCCAATTACTTGTGTCTTACACTTTGATGTTTTTATGTCTAATTTCTGCACACTAACACACAAATCAAAGCAACCCAAGGTATTTTTTAACAATAATGAAGAATGACATGATATCATGGAGTAAATACAACAAAACATAACAAAAAAGTTGAAAAATGCCAATAAATAAGGATCAATTTAAAGTAAGTTTGGCATTCAACACCTCTTAATCATAATACTTCCCAAACTCATTCGAGGTATACTCACCTCCACCATCCGTTTTGAGAATCTTGAGCTTGTGACCATATTACCGCTCAACCATGGAATTGAATTGTTTGAACACATCAAATACCTCATCCTTCCTATTAATTAAGTATATCCATAGCTTCCTACTAAAATCATCAATAAATGTGATAAAATATCTATTGCCACCATACAAATCGACTTGCATTGGACCATACACATCAAAATAGACAACCTCAAGGTGATGTTTGGTCCTATGAGTTGCATTCTTGCTGAAGTTACTCTTGCACATCTCCCATTGCATACACTCTTCACATATCTCAGCTGGAATGTTTATTCTTGGCAACCCGGTTACCATACCATCCATTTGTAACGCGTCAAGATCATGAAAATTGAGATGTTCAAGATGGTAGTGCCATAACCACTCTTCTTGACATCCACTATAGCTAAAAACCTATTCTACATCACTTTCAAGTCCACTTTGAAAGTCATATTGGCAGCCATAGGAGCCTTAAGGATCAAAACACCAATTTCATCCACAACGCGCAAGATCTTGTCTTCCAAGCGAATTTTGTAACCCCTCTCAAGAAATTGGTTGATACTCAAGATATTACACTTAATTTTAGGAATATACAAAACATCCTTGATCATAAAATGTCCATCATTCTTCTTTTCGATCAAAACATCACCGACACCTTTGGTCGCAAGAGTGATATCATCCACGAATTTTACTATACTTTTTGCGACTTGATTGATTTGCACAAACCAATCATTTCTACCTATCACATGCGTTGAACAACTGGAATCCAAGTACCATTAATTGCTGCCTTGGAATCCATCTCGAACCGTATTCATTATGTTTTCTTCCGAACGTGTTTCTGCAGCTTTTTTCGAACCACTGCAGCTGCTGTCTCGTAAATTACAGCTGCTACCGCTGCGTCCCAGCAACTCTTTAATGCCATAATTCTCCTCTGTGATCATAACCAAGAGCGTATTTTCATCATCTACCTCTTTCCTCGCAACCTTAGCTTCATCACTTTAATTCTCCCCTGGTCTCGCACGACAATCTCTTGCAAAATGACCAAGTCTATGATAATTGTAACACTTCGACTTACTCTTGTCAAACTTCTTGAAATTGTTGCCTTGATCACTATATTTGGAGCTGGTCTCACCCTTTTGCACCATCAAAACCTTTGAATTTTGTGGATCATTTCCACCAAAATTCTGAGAATTTTACTTCCCATTCAAAATCCATTTTCCTTTTGATCTTCTACTCTTCTTGTTAAGCCATGCTTTCAAAGCAATCTCTGCTTTAGCTTTATCGCTTTCTCTTTCGTCCATCATTTGCTTGAGCCTCTAGAGAGCTTTGAAGCTCATCTTTTCTAAATGTTGCAAGGTCCTTCGAATCTTCGATAGCCTCTACAATATTGTCGAATCTTGACGTTAAAAACGCAAAATCTTCGACACAACATTCTGCTCCAAAACAGTTTCTCTGCAAGACTTGATTTGATTCACCAAACGCGTAATACGTGTCACATAATTAATGGCCGTTTCCTTCTCTTCCATATGCATTAACTCGAATTGCCTCTTGTGAGTTTGTAACCTCACCACCTTAGCTTTAACAGCCCCTGCATAAACTTTCCCAAGCTTGCTTCTCCGATTCACAATCGCCAACTTTCTCAATGTTGTCACCATCGACACAAGAATGAATCAAGAAGAGTGCCTTGTAATCTTTCTTCTTTTCTTCCTTGAATGCAACCTTTTGAGCATCTATAGCTTTAGCCCCAAGTGGTGTAACTCCATTGTTGATGATCTCAAGAACTTCTTGATACCCAAACAGAACTTTCATTTGCTTTAACCACTTGTCATAATTCTTCAAATCAAGAATCAGAAGGTTGGTGGGAATTCTATCGTTGGAAACAATACTCATTGTTGCAACAGAAATGGATCAGAATCAATGCTCTTGATGCCAAATGTTAGAACATACAAAATCTTTACTGGTGAATTAATGGAGAATTGAGTTAATTTGCAGAAGATGAAGTTAAGAAATTGAGAGAAAAATAGAAAGAGAGAGTAATTGAAGGCGAGAAGAATAATTGGCATTAATCACAAATGAGAGCTTACAAGGTCTTATATACAACAAGTACAAAATGATTAGAAATAACAAAACAGTTTAACAAAATAAGCTGAAACTAACAAAAACTGAAGGAAAAAAAATCAAAATATATTTTCGTAACCGGTTACGCAAAATGCCGTAACCGATTACGAGCCCGGTACCAGCAATCTTTCAGCTTTTTTTAACTCCGTAACCCATAACCACAACTGAAATGTCAAAAATTGATTTTTAATCGTATTTACAAAGACTATTTAATACTTATATATATATATATATATATATATATATATATATATATATATATATATATATATATATATATATATATATATATATATATATATATATATATATATATATATATATATATATATATATATATATATATATATATATATATATAATTGTTAATATATTTAGAATTAACCATAAAAACTTCTTGATTATTCCCATAGACAAATTATTGGCCTAATTATGATTTTTAGTTGGTAGGTAAAATCTATTATAATTGTTATTTTGGAATAAATATTACATTTTTTCAATTGAAATTATTGTTCCAATGTAGCTCAATGGAAAGACCTTCTTAATGAGCCTTCAAATAATACTCACATTAAAATTGAAATGAACATTGAGAAGCTTCAGTAACAAGATGACCCTATATGTCATCTTACTGCCATGCAAAATTGTCCAAGCATTGCGATATGTATTTTTAAATATTATTTATATAATAACACTTATTATTAATCTGCTCTTATGAACAGTATTAATTATGCATCTGTAATTATGGAGTCCCACTTTGCTATATTTATCAACTTTTAGTGACTGCCTATTTAAAAGAGATGTACACAAGATTAATTAGTGAGATTCACTTATTAAAATTGAAATACTCAATCATCATTTATTTCTTTTTAAGGGTAAAAAAAGCTCACATTATGATGGTTGATAATACAGTTATGGTAGAATGAGAATATTTTCGTTGGGTTTTTTAATTATTTTTGGTATGAAATCAACAAACAAAAAATTCTTAAAAAAGACATAAATAAAGTAACTAGAAAGTCAAAGAGAAAAACCATGAGTGGTGGAGAGACAAATAAGGTGCACCAACAATGGAGTGTGGATGAGAGACAAGTTCGATAAAACAAAACAAACCCCTCGTATCTAAAAGTAGTTGTCACAAAGACATATATAAAGGTGTTCATATGCATGTAAAAAAGCAGAAGAAGAAGTTCTTTATCTTCTTCCCATAAATAAAAAAAAGAGAGATAGGAAGGAACTAGGAAAGGGTTGTACAGAATAAAAACCACTATCGTCAAAAAGAATTGTTGACTTGAGAAAAAGCACAAAATCAAATATGGCTCGTGGGCCTATTTTGGCTTTGATGGTTTGCCTTATGGCAACAATGGTAAGGTCTGAAGATCCTTATGTTTACTACACATGGAATGTTACATATGGTACCATTTCTCCTTTGGGGACTCCTCAACAAGGAATCCTCATCAATGGTCTTTTTCCCGGACCTGAAATTAACGGTACCAGCAACAACAACATTGTAGTTAACGTTTTCAACAATTTAGATGAGCCACTCCTTTTCACATGGAGTGGTATTCAACAAAGGAAAAATTCTTGGGTTGATGGGACATTGGGTACTCAATGCCCCATTGCTCCGGGAACAAACTATACATATAAATTCCAAGTTAAGGATCAAATTGGTAGTTACTTTTACTACCCTACCACCGGTCTCCAAAGAGCCGCGGGTGGTATTGGTGGAATCAGAGTTTTCAGCCGGTTGTTGATTCCTGTCCCATATGCTGATCCTGCTGACGAATACTGGGTCCTTATCGGTGATTGGTATGGTAAAAGCCACACCACTTTGAGGAAATTCCTTGACAGTGGTAGATCCATTGGAAGACCTGATGGTATACAAATTATGGGAAAATCCAACAGTGCCGAACCACTATACACTATGGAGCCAGGAAAAACCTATAAATACAGAATCTGCAACGTCGGTCTCAAAGATTCTCTTAACTTCAGAATCCAAGGTCACTCAATGAAACTCGTTGAAATGGAAGGCTCTCACCTCGTACAAAACAACTACGATTCCCTCGACGTTCATGTAGGACAGTGTTATACCGTCCTAGTAACCGCCGATAAGGAACCAAAGCATTACCACTTGGTGGCTTCCAGTCGTTTCACCAAGAAGGTTTTAACAGCTACCGCAGTTATCCGTTACTCTAACGGTGTGGGCCCTGCCTCTCCCATTCTCCCACCTGCTCCGGTGGGCTGGGCTTGGTCTTTGAACCAGCTTCGCTCTTTCCGTTGGAACTTAACCGCTAGTGCTGCCAGGCCCAACCCACAGGGCTCTTACCATTACGGCCAGATCAACATCACCCGTACCATCAAATTTGTTAACAGTTGTTCCAGGGTTAACGGAAAGCTCCGTTATGGTATTAACGGAGTTTCTCACGTCGACTCTGAAACCCCACTAAAGCTTGCTGAATACTACGGTGTTGCTGATAAGGTTTTCAAATACAACATCATCTCTGATAACCCCCCTGCCGTCATCAATGATCTGACCTTGGCTCCCAACGTGCTCAACGCCACCTTCCGTACCTTCATCGAGATCATCCTCGAGAATCCCACCAAGACTGTTCAGTCTTACAACTTGGATGGTTACTCATTCTTCCTGGTGGCTGTTGAGCCAGGGAGATGGACACCGGAAAAGAGAAGCAGCTACAACCTTTTGGATGCAGTGAGTAGACACACAGTGCAAGTGTTCCCCAAGTCATGGGCTGCAATCATGTTGACATTCGACAATGCTGGTATGTGGAACTTGAGATCAGAACAAGCTGAGAACAATTACCTTGGTCAACAATTGTATGTTAGTGTGTTGTCTCCTGAATTCTCCAACAGGGATGAGTACAACCTTCCAGATACTCAGCTTGTTTGCGGCATTGTCAAGGATTTACCAAGGCCTGCACTAAAGTACAATTAATTTAAATCATCATGCATTGAGAGGATGCATTCATATATATATATATGGGCTAGTTTAACTTTGATTTGTTGCAATACTATAGCTGATGTATCAAACCAACCCTTTCCTATGTTCAAGGATTTTATATCCTCAATATTGTAAGCATATATTTAAATGCAAATTTTTAATTTCCTTCCGATCATTTTTGCCTTCTTTGTCTCTTTTCTCTTTCATTTTAAGTCATGGTAATTTTTTTTAGAGATAAACACTACTTTCACTTATTATTAGTTAACTAGTGTAATAACCATATATTTATAAATTGTGATGCCTATGTGTATTTATAAAGTCAATTATAAAATAATAATATTATAATGTTAACACTATCAAAAGATATCATTTTCAAATTAAAAATAGTTTCTGATATACATTCTTCACGTTAAAAGTTATATATATATATATATATATATATATATATATATATATATATATATATATATATATATATATAGGCACACAATTGAGTGATAAATCATAGAACGATCACATTTTATCTTAGATACCCCACTCAACCACATAACCACCTTAAATAGAGGCAAAATGTCCGTAGAAAGAACAAAATCACACCTCAAATTATTTAAAACTCATATACCTCAAGAACACCATAATTTCACAAGTCACAAACAAATTAGAAAACGACCTTCATGCCTGCTACACACATTACAAAATCAACCTTTAGGGTCAACTAAATGCCTGATACACACATTACAAAATCAACCTTTAGGGTCAACTAAAATCCTACGGGTATGCATGTTTTTTCAAGTAGAGATCTTGTCTTGAAGAAGTTGTCAAGAGAACACGACCATTTTGGAAAATACTCAACTAACCTAGATAAGTTACAAAATAAGGTCCACTTTATTCGAGAGGAGTATAAGTCGATACTACCAAATAAACACCACCCTTATCATATGCCGCCACCACGGCCTCTATTTACAAAGGGCCAGCTATTGAAAGTATACAAGAAAATTAAATATTGTTACCAAACAAAATGTGACTCTCTCCAACTTAGATCCCAGACCACAACCCCATTCTCCCACACACTAATCTCCCTTATTATGTATCATTTTTCTCGGAAATACTAAAGAGTCTAGGGAGCCTAATTCTTAAAGGAATACCTCATTTCCTAGGGTAATCCCAAAAAGAGGTAAGAAAGTCAATTTCCACTTTCTTCCTTAGACTATCCATAAACCAATAAGATGAATCATTTAACATAGTGTCTAGAAAGAAACACATATTTCCACCAGAACGCGAGGATTGAAGCATTAGAAGAGTCCAGTCGTCCAAGATCCCCTCCGTCGAGGAAGGAGCGTCAGCGACCACAAAGTCCCCCTCCCCGGCGCGAGAGGAACCGTCAAACACCTCTAGAGCTAGAGACCCTGACCATCCGCAAATGCGACCACTTCTTTCCTCGGAACCAACATTCCCCACAACCCAAGAGGACCAGAAGAGACCACCAGGTAGAATCCCAACGTTTGCCTCCGCCCAGATCCAAGGGCCAAGCACAAATTCCATCTCCCCGACGAGACCACCATCCTACATATAGACGGGACGCCCGCTCCCCGTCTTGGACCAGCAGCAACAGTGACGACGAACCTCGCAGCCCGTTGTCCCAGGAGAAACCCCCTCCATGGGTACATATGACGAAACAACAGACCCCGATGAGCACATCAAAAATATCGATACGCTGCTCGATTACTGCAGCGTCAAGTGCGCTATCAAATTCAGGTTATTCCTGACCATACTTAGTGTCGCTACTGCGAAAATCGGCGCCGGCTGAACAGAAGAGTCGCCACCGTGCGTTATTTATCCCACGGGAGGGAAAGGAAACGCTCAGAGTAAACCTCGCACAACACGGGAAAGGTATGGTCATCGCAACCAAAACCTGGGTTCGGGAGTCGGTTACGCAAGGGGAAGGTATTAGCACCCCTCACGTCCATCGTACTCGATGGGATCCACGCTTGTTTTCGGGTATGGATTGTTATTCTATCTAAACTATAGGTCAAGGGTGAAAAAGAAAATAAAATGAAAATAAAAATGACTCGGCAAAGTATCGCACTTTATGCCTACGTATTCCCGTCTGGAACGAGAAATCAGAGTCAACGTAGTTCGCCTACCTACGGGAAAGGAGGGGAAGGTTGCTCGCTAGGATATCGCATCCTATGCCTACGTACTTCCACACGGCATGGAAGATCAGAGCAAACGTAGTTCGGGCTACGCACGACATAAGTCTGTCCTTGATTGATTTTATTCCTTCTAAAAAAGGGTTTCTTGATTAGCAGTCCCGACGGACAAAAATGACGTCTTGATGAGTTCACATTCTTTTACGGAAGAAGTGTCTTTTATTGTGTTTGAAATCTTTATGTGTTTTTCTGTTTGTTTTGAGAAAGAAGAGACAGAACTCTAACCTACGGTTGCGAAGGGAATCAAGCTAACCTAATGTTATCATGCATGGGTTAAGACCTAGTGTCTATCATGTTCCTCTCTTGCACAGAGAGAAACAGAGATCCTACGGGATAGGCAGAAACAGAAACAATAACAGATATAATAAAGCGGTAACATGCATGGATGCAACAGTACAAGCGAGGCAAGGGAGTCCCACTCAACCTCGAACCTAGAAAACAATAGGCAAAAGTGAACAGGCTTCACTTCCAACCCAGCAGGGTAAACAGCAAACAATACAGTCCAGAAAACCAATCAATACATCAACAAATGAAATACAACAGCAAAAGAAACAGCATCAGCAGCTCTGAATCAACATCTGGCTTCAAGTAATCTCCAATCAGCTATAGGCTTCAACAAGCATCAATCTCCATCTTCATGACCTTCAGGCAAGGGCTTTGATCATCAGTCTTTCATCTGCAATGGCTTTTCTTCAAGCTCAAACCTCCAGGATGAGGAATCAGTCACAAGAGTGAAGTGAATGAATGTTAGACAGTTAATTACCTACCAAGGGTGGTTCATCAACTGTTAACATTAAACAGAAAGTCTCCTCTCAAAAGTTCTATCTTTCAAATATATTCACTGATCCTTCCAAAGGAAGGAGGTGGATATTTGAAAGAGACTTTGAATCATAGAGAAAGGATGGATGCAGACAAGGCATTCCATGTTTGAGAAACAAGCTTTCTAACCTAGAGCTCTGCCTAGCTCCTAAACCCTAGTCTCCTCAGCAGCTACTAGCAAGAACCTCCTCTCCAACTCTGGCAGTTGATCTTCCATCTTTGGATCTCCAATGGTCTTCATCTTCTCAAATCTTCAGCTCTCCCAAGTCCCCAGACAGTCCCAATACCCAAGCAAACAAGCAATAATCCCCAGAGGGCACACCACACCAGTCAATCAGACATACACAGAGTATTAATAGCAGTAGGGGAATCCTGACTTTTTCTAAGGGGATCTAATAACTACCCATAGCCCCTATAGTCCCATAACTAATCTAGTTAAATCCTAAGTCCTAAGGGAAATGAATTGATTCTCCTAAGTCATCACCTAAAAACCCTAATTTGTTCATGTTGTTCAAGCCTACATTAAGCACCCAAAATTAATTCCTAAAAATGGGAACTAAATTGTTTCTACAAGTTCAATATCTAATCTAAACAACCTAAAAAGAATGAACAAAAAATATGAAAGCATCTAATAGAACAAAAAATAATAAAATCATGCATGAAATGAACTATTTAAGATGTCATTTATTTAGAAAATATGAAAAAAATATCAAATAAAAATAAAAATGCAATTTTATTTAATGACAATTTTCTACACATTCTAATGAAAATGATGTAAAAAGAATGGATTAAAAATGATTTTTTATCTATTTATTATGAATTTTTTAAAATGAATGAAAAAGATTAAAGAAAATAAAAGAATATATAATGAAATAAAGGGAGGGGGGTTTGAATAGCAGGGCGCCCTAGTTATATTCTTGGATGGGCCAGGCAGACGGGGGTGCACGTAGCAAATTATATCAGGCCCAGAACAAGGTTAGAAACACTGAAAAATAAAAAACACGCAGGGGGGTGAAAATAGCATAGGATTCACGTTCAAAACTGATTGGGCCTGGCAGTAGGGTGGTGGGATTAGCAATACACACTTAGGCCCGCCCGTTTCAATTAATGAAACGGTGCGTTTAGGGCACCTGTAGCTTCCCTCCAAATCTCAGAATCAAATAAGAGCCACACGATTGGCTTCTGAGTCAAAGGTCTTGCATGAAATGGACAGCCACGATTGTGTCTTCCTCATTAGCTCATGAGAATTAGGGTTTCTGCCATGAATGTTCATGCACGAACCAACTTCCCTCCATCTGTTCTCTCTCCACAATGCATGAAACACCACGATATAAACATGAAACTCACTCAGAAATTCTCCCTCTACAAGCCTATGGCATTAGTTCAATCTGAAACTCAACACAACTCTCAACCCGATAGCAATAATCTCTGGTCACCATGAAAATGCTCTGCAACTCATCAGCATAATTCTCCATCAAACCTATACTAATCTAATCTATGACTAATGGTGATTATTCTGATCTATCAAACTAAGATTATCATGCAAGATCCTACGAATTCTTGATCCAAACAGTTTGGTACACCTGCTAACAATCATCACTAAACTACTCCAAACTCATCCTAATTGCTCTACTAACATCCTACATCATATCTAAACTAACAAAACCATGCTAAACTAACTAAATCAAGCTGTGGCAGAGAAAATGCACCTGGTGTGAAATCTTGTGGATGATGATGAAACTTGTGGATCTGAGGCTTTTGAGGCTTGAATCTTGATCTACAATTGCACCACTTGATTCTGTATGCAACACTTTGAGGAGTTTTGCACTGGATCTTGAGTTCCAACTGAATTTGCAGCTTGTATGTTCTTGATGAAAGTGCACGAAATTGAGCTTTAACCACTAGGATCTTGATTGAATTCTATGCCATGATGATGAATCAGTATGATGAAATTGATTTGGATGG